CTGTCAAAACCAAGGAAGCAAACATTGGCTCAAAGTTAACAATCTGGGCTCTTTCCATTCTATTTATCCTGCGTATGCCCAGGTAGCTAAGAATGATGAACCCATAGCTCTGGTAATTCATAGCTGAATGTGGACAGGTCTTCTGCCCAATCAGTGATGGAAAAGAGGCCTCCTCTCCACAGTTGCTCTCTGAGGATCTAACAAACAAAAGTTCAGGCAGCCCCTCTAAAGCCTAGGGACAACCCTGGACGAAAGCAATCACAACCTCCTCACCTTAGCATCCAACAAGTAATTGTATGGCATAAAGATGATGTCAGCTTGCTGCTTCATGTTTCGAGAAAGGTAGTATGGGCACACTCTGGATGTAAAAAGAGACAGAAGACCCTGTAAGTCTCTTCACAGGATACGCAAACAGTGAACTATTACATGAGCACTGTGCCCTCTGATGAAGGAGGAGACTCTCATTCTGTACCAAGAGCCTCAAAGAAATTGGTACCTGGGGAAAAAGGGCAGCCCAAGTGATTTTTTTTTCAGTATGTAAAGGTATCACCTGTCTTAAAATTTAATGGGTGTTGGGCCTGGTGGTACACATCTTTATTCCCAACACTTATGAGGTAGAAGTAAGGGAATCTGATCAAGTCAGACTGACCTTAAAAATGAGTTCTGGATCACAGTACCGAGTCACATACTGAGACCATTTCAAAATAAACAAACAAACCCCCAAACCCAAAACTCGATGGGGTCAGGGAAATGTCTCAGCAAGTAAATCACTTGCCGTACAAACCTGGTAACCTCAGTTCAATTCTTAGAATCCATATACAGTTGGAAAAAGAGAACCAACTCTACAAAACTGTCTTCTGACACCCACATGAACCACCCACGCACACACCAACCACCCCCACACACCACATACATACATACATACACACACACACCAACCACACACACATCACACATATACATACCACATACACACTAACCACACACACACAACACACACAATAATAGGAATTATTAGAATGTTATTAGAATGAGTTATTAGAATGTTTGCCTGACATATACAGTCCTGGGTTCAATCCCATCTACCAAACAAACCCGACCTGATGGCAAAAAATTGAAAGCCTGAAGCTCAGTTCAAGGCCATCAGGCTGCGAAATGGCTCAGGAAAATGTGCTTGCCATATAAGCATCAAAAACACAGTCCAGATCCCCAAAACCAATATAAAGCCAGAAACTATAATCTCAGAGAAATGGGAGGCAGAGACAGGATAATTCTTCTAAGTTCTCGGGCCAGTTAGCCTGGCATATTCAGTGATAAACAAGAGATTCTATCTTAAGGTAGAAAGCAAGAACCAGCTGGGTAGTGGTGGCGTATGTCTTTAATCCCAGCACTCAGGATACAGAGGCAGGCGAATCTCTGTGAGTTTGAGGCCAGCCTGGCCTACAAGAACTAGTTCCAGGACAGGTACCAAAAGATACACAGAGAAACTTTGTCTTGGGGGGAAAAAAAAGCAAGAACCAACACCCAAGAGCGTACACCTATAGACACTATACACATATGCAAAAATTAAAAACAGAATGGGGGTGGATTCATGGTCATCTTGGTCACACAGTAAGCTCTAAATTGGCTTGGATTTATTTATTTTTCTGCCTAAATAAAAAACAAGAACAAAAATAAAAAACCCTTCATAAAAACAAAATCTAACCCCACTCCTGGGCACAGGCCACCAGAAACAAAAACCACATAAATAAAAGAAATATAGGAAATAAAAGTGGTGTGGGAGAATTGTCTGTATTCTGTCAATCATGTATTTTAATAAAACGCTGATTGGCCAGGCAGGAAGTATAGGTGGGTCAACCAGACAGGAAGTGGAGGCAGGGCAATGAGAATAGGAGAAGGCTAGGGAGGAGGAAACTTCCTCAGCCACTCCTGTGCAGACCACCGAAGAGGCAACATGTAAGCTGACAGCTAAAAAAGGTACCAAGCCATATGGCTAACATAGATCAAAATAATGGGTTAAGATAAGTCATAAGAACTAATAAGTAGCCTGACTTAATGGGCCAATCAGCTTTATAACTTATAGAGATCTCTGTGTGACTGATTTTTCTCTTTGGGACATGCCGGCTGTGGGGTACCAGGCGGGACAGAAACCCCAACAAGCCGGCCCTCATGTTACATAAAAGAAATACAAGAAAGAAAGAAAGAAAGAAAGGAAGAAAGGAAGGAAGGAAGGAAGGAAGGAAGGAAGCAAGCAAGCAAGCAAGCAAGCAAGCAAGCAAGCAAGCAAGCTTTTCCCTTAGTATAACAAAGTCTCAAGTCTCAATCTGTCTTTCTTTTTTGCAGTAATGGGAATGGAACCCTGGGGCCTCACACAAATCAAGCAAGAACTACATACAGCCTTGGGTGTTACAAAACTACAAGTCATAGATGTATAGTCAGGCTTGGTAGTGTACATCTACAATCCCAACACACGGGAGGTAAAGGCAAGAGGATCAGAAGTTGAGGGTCATTCTCAGTTACATAGCAAATCTTGGAAGTCAGTATGGACTGAGATTGTCTCAAACAAAACCCCACAAATTTACTATCCGCAGAAAGAAGTTAAGCTTCATATGCCCATAAGGAAAGCCAATCATGGTAAGTCAGAAAGCGTTTGGAGAATACACACAAACAACACTGTGCTTATACAATAGACGCTGTTCACAATGGTCCTCCTGGAGTGGGCTCAAGGACAGGGAACAGGAGCTGATTTCATATTTTTCACCTTACATTCCTCAGAACTGCTTAAATTTCTTTCACATTATTAGTTTCATAAATAGAAAAGAAAACGATATTGTGCTTCCCATATGAGTTGTCAAGGAAAGATAAAATAGCCTTGGGCTCACAGGGTGAGGTCTCACTTGTGTTTGCTTCCATTCTTGACAAGGTCCTCAATGTCCAGGATAGGGGTAACCAACTCCTGCTCCAGGCTTTTCTCTGCAGGTAAGATATAGAGTAAGCTCATGCTCAGGAACCCAAGAGACACAAAAGACAGAAGAAAGCCTATGAAGCAGCATTCTGTAACTTTTGGACTTATCAGATTCTTTCTGGTATGTCTTCCCAGGAGAGACCACAACCTGAAGTAATCTCAAGAGAGCCTTGCTCTGTATTTGGGAGACAGGTAGCAGTATTTCCACAATATCTCCACAAGGTCCCAAGCAGCCTGTCTACTCTTGGACACCACAAAACAGGACAGGAAAGACCACAAGCCTTCCTGAGGCAGAGTATGGCAGAGCAGTCCACAGACTCACAGCTTTTCATCATCATTCACAGAGCATAAAAAATAGGCTGGGCATGGTGATGCACGCCTTTAATCCCAGCACTCAGGAGGCAGAGGCAGGCAGATCTCTGTGAGTTCGAGGCAGCCTGGTCTACAGAGTAAGTTCCAGGACAGCTAGGGTTGTTACACAGAGAAACCCTGTCTCTAAAAGTCAATAATAAAGGCTGGAGAGATGGCTCAGCAGTTAAGAGCACTGTCTGCTCTTCCAGAGGTCCTGAGTTCAATTCTCAGCAACCACATGATGGCTCACAACTCTTTGTAGTAAGATCTGGCACCCTCTTCTGGCCTGCAGGCATATATGCAGACAGAACACTGTATACATAATAAATAAACTTAAAAAAAATAACAATGAATAAACAAACAAACAAACAAACAAACAATGGATGAATGAAATAGTACTGCTCGCCCTAGCTTTCTACCAATCAGTGGACCAGAGAGTGGCACCAAAAAAGCTGCACCTTGAATGCCATTAAGCAGGGCACTCAGGCAGAGTCTACCCAGTTCAACTTGTAGTCCATTCCGTTTCTTACAACAAGAGCTCAGGAACAGACACCATCTGTGCTGCCTACAAGGCAAAAAGCAGAAAGGTCCTTAAGGACTACCCTGCCATAACACAACCCCCCCAATCAGAAACTACTGGAATGCCTCAGGAAGTGACTGCCAACTATGGAGCAGCTATATATATGGAACCCAGCAAGCCTCCTGACAGCTCCCAGTTCTACTTCCTGCCCAAACCAGGTATCAGGCTCCCTCTCTGGGGGTAGAATTAAGGCCCATCTCTCAGCTGCAAAGGCTAAAACACAGACACACACACCCAGTGGTGGCCTCTCAAAAAAAAAAAAAAAGCCCCCAGGAATAGCAGGGCTAGTAAGAAGAGAAGATCATATCCCTCAAGACCATACAACAGATCAGTCATTCAGCTCACACTAGCAGAAAACCAGTTGGCCATATTTTTTGTTCAAAGCCCAGGAAGGGACACCTGTAGAGGGAGAGCAAAGGTGGGGAGAGATGACAAGAGTTGTCTCAGAACCATTTCTGAATAACTCCTAACTCCTAGGTAGCGATGGCTTGCCATCTACCTCCCAGGTTCTTTTCTGATGCCAGACAGACAGCATTCTTTACCACCTCCCTTTCTCACCAATAGCACAAGCCTTTTGTGCTACCTGGTTTTATGGCAACCCGACACAAGCTAGAGCAATTTGGAAGACAGAACCTTAATTGAGAAAATGCTCCAACAGATTTGTCAGAGGACAAGCCAGTGATATATTTTCTCCATTAATGACTGATGTGGGGGCGAGCCCATCTCACTGTGGGTGGTGGCACACCTAGGCTGAAGGTCCTGGTTGCTGTGGGATAATGCTCTTGAACACTGTTAAGATTTGTCACTCATATTGGTTTAATAAAACACTAACTGGACAGTAGCCAGGAAGAAGTATAGGTGGGCGAACAAACTAAGAGAATTCTGGGAAGAAGAAAGGCAGAGAGATGCAGTCGTTAGGCAGATGCAGAGGAAGAAAGATGAGAATGCATCACTGAGAAAAGGTACCAAGCCACATGGATAAGTATAGATAAGAATTATGGATTAATTTAAATTGTAAGAGCTAGTTAATAATAAGCTTGAGCTAATAGGCCAAACAGTTTATAATTAATATAAGCGTCTGTGTGTTTCTTTGGGACTGAACAGGACTGGACAGGACAAACTTTCGTCTACACCTGGTTCTTACAAGAAAGCAAGACAAGTAAGCCACAGGAAGCAACAAAGTAAGCAGCATCTCTCCACAGCCTCTGCTTTCAGTCTCCAGGTCCCTGCCTTGAATTTCCTACCCTGCTTCCCTGGATGATGTACCACAAACTATAAGATAAAATAAACCCTAAGAAACCTTCGTCTAGAAACCTCCATGGGGCTGCCTCCTATTCCAAAGACAGGCAACACTGGCCAGCTAACGAGTCTGCCAGAACAGACAAGCAAGTTCACAGGTAAGCAGCCATCCAAAAGGCCAAGCAGTGAGACAACCAAATAAGTATAGAAGGAGCTGGTTTGTAGTGCATAAAACTAAGCCAAGGAGCCTAAGATACACAGAGGTCATAGCTGTTAAGCCAGGTGGAATGGCTTCTTTCTCTCAAAAGAACATAGAGCTCTGAGAAAGGGGTTTTATAGCACAGGGCCATTGTTGTGGTAAAACTCCCTCAACCCTCAGGACCTGTGAAGGGGAAGGACATTGTAGATGAGAGTTAGGGCAGAACACGAAGCTTATAGGCATCAAAATGCTGACCTACACAGCGTGGAAAACTGATCAGGGTTGTTCCCAAAGGAACTATACCAGAACAGTCTGGCATAATGCAAAGGAACATTTATATCCACCTCCTTTGCCAGGAGTGTGAATGGAGGAAGCCAGGATGGAGCAGAGAGACAGAGAGAATGAATGAATCAGATAAGCACAGGTCATGGAATAAGTGAGACAGAACCAGAAAGGAGGGCTGTAAGCAGAGAGATGGACAAGGAGAGAAGATAGAACACCTTCCAGGGCTAGAGATGTGGTTCAGTTGGTAGAACTCTTACCTATACACAACAAAACTATGGATTAATCCCCAGCACTGCATAAGCCAGAGATGCTGGCACATGCCTATCATCCCAGTACTCGGACAGTAGAAACTGGAAGACCAAAAGTTCAGTTCATCCTCTCCTACAAAGCAAGTTCAAAGCCAGTCTTAGCTATTTGAGATACTGACAAAATAGAAAAAGGGAGGAACGGTTAAGATAATTTGAAGATTAAGAGCATTTGTTGATACTACAAAGAACCAGTTTGGATCAGTCAGTTCACAACCATCTCTAACTCCAGCTCCAGAGGACACAACGCCTGCATCTAGCTAGGTATCCACACTCGTGTGCATATGTACACACAGACACACATACACTCTTTAAAAAAGGGGGTAGGGTGGGATTGGATAGATGGCTGGCAGTTAAGAGAACTGGCTGCTATCCAGAGATTCCAGGTTTGATTTCCAGTACCTACATGGTGGCTCACAACTGTCAATAACTCAACTTCAGGGGATCCAATGCCCTCTTCTTGCCTTTGCAGACACCAGGCACTCAAGTGATACACAGAATCACAAAAAAAGCAAATCATCATATACACATTAAAAAAAAAGAAAGAAAAAAAAAAGAAAAAGAAATGGAAGGCAGGCAGGCAGACCTCCCAGTCAACCCAATACCCATGAAAGAACTTACATAGGGTAGTCAGCAGCCTCCCACCAGGAGACAGAGTGGCCACAGGCCAGAGGACTATCTGTAAGCAGGCCACTGCAGAAATGCTTGGTGTTGTCTGTACATACCTTCCTGTTTCCCACAGATCCCTTTAGGAAGCTAACAAGGACAGGGAGTGACAACTCTGATCATGGAGAATTTCAAAATGGTTATCAGGTCCAGACTCACCGTATCCAGAGACAGAGACCTGAGGGCTGGCACAGATACACATCCATATCCCAGGCCTGGACAATCACACATTGAAACAACTAAGAGTCTTCAGTGACATCAGACCAAAAAACAAAGCAAGCAAGAAGGACCATAGCTGAGGTGCTCACCACAGAGCCATGTCGTCATATCTTATCTCTTATCTAAGAGGCTCAAAACAAAGATGCTGGGGATAGGAGACCCTCTCCCCTGAGCTCAGGCTTCTGGCTTGACAGAAGATGCAAAGGCCTCAATTCTAGTGCCCTGGATACTCAATAAGCATCAAAGAAGACAGTAGCCCTCAGTTCACCAAAGCCTTAAGAGTGTTCCAGAGCCTGCCTACTTTATGTGGGACTCTCATGTGGCAAGAAATAAAAGGAAGTCTAGTCCTACAGAGATTGAAGCCCCCCAGTTACGCAGATGTATGACTGACCCCTCAGATTACAGAGAACAATGAAGAAGCTTGTCTTGTCACAAGCCAGCAAGTGAAAGAGAGGGAGGAGACAAACTCAGAGAAAGATAGATATGCTCAACTCTTGGCACCAAGTCATGACACCTGGGAGACACTGGCAACTGAGCAACTTATAGGAGACTCCATGTCTTAGTTCTCTGGGAGACTGGTCAAAGGCGTTTTCTGTCAGGCAAAGCCCAGGCTCCCGGAGGGAAAGCAGGTACTCAATATGAACCCTGTTTGAACAGGTCACCAGATGGTGAGAGCCATTCCTGAGTGCTGAATCTTGAGCTGCATGAGCTTTTCTCCATTTAACACCAACGCAGGCAACCCCTCACGTCCAAAAGATAGTACCCAGGTACATAGCCATTCTCTGTCCCACAGGGTAAAGCAGATAGGTTATGGTGCTACTAAACTCTATAAGGCTGCACAAGCCTCACCCAAACTCTGACAATAGTCGGAAAGAAGAGCTTTCAAGAGGTGATCTTACCGTCCACATTGTTGTAGAAGTGACAGGCGCGACTTGCTACTTTCTTGCGGCATAAGTGGATCTGTAAGAGGGAAGACAGAGTGCTCACCTAGAATGGCTAAGGAATGGTCCATCCCTGGCCCTCACCACCAGCTTCCCTATGCCATTCTTCCCTGTGTTCTCTAAACCCTGACCCAGCCCAGCAGGGAGCACAGCAGTCAGGATTAGCATCTGTTGGAGCATAATTCTGGATTCTAAGATCCAGGTACCACCCAATCAGTAGAATCATGGAAACTGAGTGCCCCAAAGCTCACCTGCATGTGGTTACTCTCCTGCTTCTTCACTTCAGGGTGAATACACAGCTGCTCCCGGGAGCCCAGCACACATACTTTGGGCCTGACAAGAAGAAGAATGGAAGAGTCCATAAAGAGCCCCAGAACATGCAGATTACAACGTGGCCCGGCAGCATGAGCTGTCTCGAGACAAATGGGAGCACAAAGAAAACAGAAAAGGAAGCAAAAAGGCTACAATGTGGGAAGGCAAGGAAAACCAGACATAGCAACCTATTGTACACGTTCTTCCACACGAGAGCCATAGCTAGATACCAAGACTCAGCTGAAGTTTGGCAAAAGGCATTCTTCTTCCATCGTGGGCAAAGCTGCCTTTAGGAGCCAAAGCTGACTACCCACAGGCAACATGACAGCCCTACAAGAAACCCAGGGTTCAAAAGCAAGGACAGTCATAAGTTCAAAGCTCAAAGCTGCTTTTTCATAAGCAAATGTATGCCAAAACCAGCCAGTCTCTATCTACCCAGCTGGCTGTGGATCGGCTCCAAACCAAGATCATTCTCCGGATAATCTGAGGTGTGAATAGGCTGACATACCGGTAGGAAGTGTTCCGAAGCTCACTGATGACCTGGGTTAGCTGTGAGTGAGTTCTGGAAGCATAGATGATCTTTGGGATGTCTGTGTAGCAAGCTGCACAAGCATAAGGAAAGGGGGTAGCCGTGAGGAAATATCTTCATGTGTGTTTATACATGCAGCACTGAGCTAACTCAGTCCTGCAGACATCCACACCAGACAGAGTGTGTTGCTATGGTACCCTAATTCCAAAAAACCAGCTCTGACCCCAGGTGTATACCCAGAATGGTAAGTAATGTGGATGATGCAAAATTCTCCTCTCTTAAATTCTGCTCCAGAGACAGTGGAAGCCTGGGTGAACTGGCCCTGTCCCAGGCTCTATCCCTTCCCTATCATCCACACAGAAGACCAGGAGTGATGGGGGTGGAAATGGGGAGATAAGGGTCACCTATTGAGTCTCCAGCAGCACCAGCAGCATTCCAGGACGACAAAGATCGACTGGCGAAGAGTTCACCTTGAACTCTCTCAGCAATCTTTTGGGCAGAAACAGCGTCACGGAGATGTTCCCTCCAGGCCAGTGTGGTGCAGAGGAGGCAGAGTGTCTTCCCAGTGCCTGTGGGGCTCTCTAGGATGCCATTCACTCTCTAAATGGAATCAGCGACAATGAGAGGAAAAACAGGGGGTGCGGAGAAACTAGAAAAAGTAAGATGGCTCTTATATGCCCAGCCCACACCTAGAGGACATAATTAGCTCTTGACATTTTCCACTTTTGCCCTAAAAGCCCATAGGTTAAGCCTGCCCTCATTAGGCAGGTATAGTGGTACACAGAGAGGGCAGAGGCAAGTGGATCTCTGTGCGTTTGAGGCCGGGCTGGTCTACATAGTAAGCTCCAGAACACCCAGGGCTATGTAAAGAGGACCTTGTCTCAGAAAACAAACAAATATACAAAAAAAGACTGCCCTCATTAGCAAAATAAATTCAGAGTATTACCGTAAACCTGACAGTATATTTCAGCCTAATATAGTTAGATGACTAATTAGGTGTCAAGTCTCAAAATAGGAAGCTGTTCTGCAGTTCTGGGCCCAGGCATTCACCCTACCTAAACAGAATTTGATGTCCTACATTCCAGATATCAGATAGGAGCTGAGCAAGATATCTGAGGAAACAGTGATTAGAACACAAGAGGGCACCTTAAAAACTCAGTCAAAGTTATCTGCCCCACACACTTCTAATAGTTAAAGATTTTTTTTTCATGTCTCAAACAAAAGTCAACCATAATGACACAAGCCTTTAATCCCAACACTCCAAAGGCAGAGACAGACAGATCTCTGTGAAGTGGAGGCCAGCCTGGCTTATCAGGACAGCTATGGTGAAACAGTTAAATCCTGCCTCAAAAAATAAAATAAAATAATTAAAAAAAAAAAAAGAAAAATCAAAGATTTTTTTTTCTCACAGAGAGAACTGGGTATTCCCGCTCCTCTGTATAGAAACACTCCTCCAGACCCCAAATCACTTCTATCCACCGAACTCAACACAAACACCATCTACTCAGAAAGGGCACCAAGACATTCTCAGAGCTATCTCTATCTGGAATTACCTCTTTCGTTCACTTTTACAGTCTCCCTTAACCTAACCAGAAGTTCTAGTGACCA